GACTCTAGGGTATTTAGCGCTGCTCTAACATCCGATATGATGTAGATACAATTAGCCGAGAGACTTCGACAATCGACAGCGGCAAACAATCAACCTAAAAGAACTACAGTGATCCAGCGAGCGAAATGACTTGCTGATCCCAAGTTTCATTTAGTAGTTTACACTAGTGACCCTGTTTTCTAGTCTTGGCGCACCAGTATAAAACCTTAATAAAATGTAAATAATATAATGACCCTTTGTAACCGCTGAAGCGATTTTCGGCCGAGCTTCTCCTCCAGTTTGTGGTTTTGCGTCTTGAACTTTTTTACATATAGTTTACCTAAGCCGCCTTCGAACGGCCGATGGTTTTTTTGTGAGGAGCTTTATATCATGTCAGAAATACACTCGGAGGGGTTGACATTCCCGGACGAGTGGCAACCTCAATTAGAAAATTTAACTTACTTTTTTATTTAAATTAATTTTCTATAATTCCGAATGCGAGGCACTTGGCTATCGCAACTTAGATAATTTACAAAATATCTCTTTACAAAAAAATATATAGACCGACATAATAATGGCACACCCTATGAAATTCATTTATTTACGTATTTAAATGGGAAGATCAATACTTAAAATACCGAAGGCACACGAAATTGAATTATAAATATTTCACTAGTATTTCATAGTAAACAAATGTATTTACTTTTATATGTTTGACTGCAAAAATATTATTTTAGAGCTCTACGTTTCGGTGAATATGAATATTTTCTGATTGCTTTGAACATAAGAAAGCGTACTTATTGTTGATGTACATATGTATGTACATATGTGAATGAGATCCATAATATTAAAATGGAAATAAATATTTATATTTAGAAGCGCAACAATTGAAATTTCTAACATGTGCGCAAGTTTAATTTCCAATATTTGTATTATTTTCCGTAAAGTATTTTTTCATAGAAAGCTTTTTTTCGAGTACATACATATATGTGAATATGAAAATTATTTAAAAAATAATATAAAGTTTTTTCGTCTGCTAGATTTTTAACAAACAATGTCATTATCTTGTCGCTACTAACAAAATTTACTACTTAATAAATATACAATTATATATGATTTTTTTATATATATGATTTTTTTATGTAATAATAAATATGTGTTTGTCAATATTTTACAAAAAAAAAATATCATGGTGCCATTATTATCAGGTGTGATCAGAAAATTCACTTCCTTTTCGGCAGTCTTATTCCAGCAATGATTTTTAAAGTAGTAAAAAGTAGTAAAAAATTCTTAAACTTTTACTACTTTTTTATATTTACAATTTTAGTGCGAAAAAGGAAAATCGTTGCTACTTTAAAGCTTACTCTTATATGTTATACATATTTACAAATGCTTTTATTTGATAAGGGATTTAAGTAGCAATATTGTGAGGACAACAAAAAGGATATTAATCATAATTCTTTGTTTATTCCCATTAAAAATGAGGAAAAAATGCCAAATTTAAGGCAGATTAAATACACAAACATTTTACAACTGACCAAGTTCAGTGGTATAATTTTTAATTTGTCGTGTTGTTGTGATGAAACTAAATATCATTGTTATGCATAGCTATGTATGTCTTTACAGTTGAGATGTCCAACTGAGAAAATCAAATCTGTGCGCATTCAAATATTTACTAAAGTTTTTATTTATACATATATCAGATTTTTTTTTACAGAGTTCACAGAGATAGTAGCATTGTGACTTTTATCAAAAAATCGCTTAATAATTATTATTCAGTGGTTTAAAAATATTAATCATAAATAATCTTAATTTTTTGTTTTGGTTTTAAAATATTGATCTAAAAATTTAAATTATTTTATACCTTTTAGATCAGATATAATTTTTAATTTTCAATTTTTTTCTTTCTTAATTAGATAATTATAAGGTGTAGTAAAAAGTAATCCATTATTTTTCCAATAGATAATGCCAGCTGTATCTCACAATGTATAACTCTGATCGGGCGTTAGAAAGATAACATTTTGTACTAAGAAGCTTTTCTGAGAGTTTTGTGATTGGTTTTTCAGTTTTGTTTGAGCTATATTTTACAGTTTTTCTGCAAAAGGGGCAAAAGGCAAACCAGACAGCCGAATATGTGTATAACGTTACGTTGTCCTGATACTGTCACAGTCAATCATGCTTAAGATGTCAAGATGATTTACGGAGTGGAAAGCCAATTTCGATAAAATCATGGACATTGTCGAGTTGGACCCTCATTTAAGCACTGTTTCGATTGCCCAAGAACTAAAGATTGCACAAAAACCCGTTTGGAAGCATTTGATTAAGGCTGGATATGAAAAATAAAAGTTAAAGCCTTGATTTTCATGCATAAATAATGAATTTCTTTTTACTACACCCAATAATTATTTGCTACTTTTCTCATACTTTTGGATAATACCTTAGCTTTAGTGGGACACTGAAAAGCTTTGCAAGAAAATCAAGAGCTTTGCTATTCTTTAGCATTAAAACTAGGTGGGTAATAATATTTTTCAGTTCAGACACAGATACTACGCAAATAACAGTGTATCTTGGGGCAGTATGATTGCATTATTTTTAGCAGTATTTGGTTGATATATTGTACCATACTGGCGTGCTTTACAAAACGAATCGTCATTTCTTTATGCGCTCTGACCCATCAACGGTTGCGCAGTCTCTGCGATGCTTCAACGTCTGAAATTTTATCTTTTTATTTTTTTTTTAATCGCAATGAATCGCTTAAAAAGTCATGGCGGATTTCTAAAGCTAATGACTAACCATTGAATGAACCTTAAATTAACGTCAAATTTATATAAATATGCTTGAATATTTCAAAAAGAAAATCAACCGACTTCTGGAAATTATTTTGTCTCATAACTTTTTATTTAAGAAACTATGGGTATGAAATCTCGTACTGGCTTAAGAGTTCATGAAAAATCTGATCCGAAATATATAACTTATTTATTAATAATTATATTCTAAATGATAAGTAAAAATTTTTATTTTTTATTAGTTTTGATTTTTATAGATATTGATTCCGATTGCACAGATCACTGCAGAATTACAAAGAATTACTAGAAATATGCCTCTGTATATAGAAAAAACTAATATTTTCTTTTTTATTGAAACATCAAAGATAACGATTATTTTCGATCCCTGCACTACGAACATGTTCTCCACTTAGTTGTTAAGCGAGTATCTACGTATATCCTGCTCTGAATTTACACTTTTACATATTTTTTATGTCAAAATGTCCAGAACATGAATTCAATCCAAACGAACATTTTTTTCATTCTCAACTAAAATAGAACGTTTTTTGGCCGATAGAACAGATAAGTTACAGCCAGCTTTGTCTGGTTGGCCATTTTAAAAAATTACTTCAATTGAGTATTTCTAATACTATTTTCTAGTACTATTGGATGAGTGCATAAGTTCGTGCTCGATTTCAAGTGCAAACTAAAATTGAAATTTTTTGAAGAAAGCGCTTTTATTAATCAATTATGTATTCGCCATCATGTTCGGCAATCTACTCCCAACGTTCAACCAATTTACGGATGCCTGATTCATAGAAATCGCGCGGTTTCACGTTGAAAAAGCTGTCAAGGTGGTTTTTGACGTCTTCCATATTTTTAAATTTTTTTCCATTCAAATTGTTCTGCAGCGGTCGAAACAAATGATAATCAGAAGGTGCAAGGTCGGGTGAATATGGGGGATGCGGCATGATTTCCCAATTCATCTCCTTCAGTTTGGCCAGGGTCGGTTTTGCAACATGTGGCCTGGCGTTGTCGTGATGGAAAAGAACTCCTTTGCGATTGGCCAAAATCGGACGTTTTTCATCAATTGCTTTCTTCAATTCGACCAATTGCTGACAATACTTGTTGGCAGTGATCGTTTCTCCAGCTGGCAAGAGCTCAAAATAGATCACGCCTCGGATATCCCACCAAATGCACAGCGGTACCTTCATCGGATGCAATCCACCGTTCGACATCGGTTCCGCCCCTTCGTGTGCCTGTTTCCATGTTCTTTTGCGTTGAACACTGTTGTACAGGATCCATTTTTCATCACCAGTCACGAGCCGATCCAAACAAGGTTCGTTTTTGATCCGTCGAAGCAAAGAAATTGCTGTTGACATACGGTCCACTTTGTTTTTTTCACTCAACTGATATGGCACCCATGTATCGATCGTCAAAGTGTACCCAACCTTTTTTAAACGACGAAACGCAGTTGATTTGTTGACGTTCAATTCATTCCAGAACGAAATTTCGCGAACCGTTTCTTTACTGTGCGGAGTGCTGGAGCACGGTCCAAATAAACTTCGCGAATATCTTTAGTTGCAGCGCCTACTGTTTTTCCGTTGCGGAATTCGTATAACATAATATGACGCATATGATCTTTTTCGTTGTCCATCTTCCATGCGTCTTTTCACTAAGCAACTCAAATCAAAATGAAGTTATTTTATGCTTGATTTACAGTTCGGACTGTCACCTTTCCAACGATATATAATATGTATATATTTCTTTCACGAGCGCCACTCTCAAACGATTCGAACGGCATCCAGCGGAATCGGGCACGAACTTATGCACTCATCCAATATTTTTTATAATACACATGTCGCATTTCCAATAAGACTGCCGATTTTGTCAGAACTACGTATTTTACATGGCTAACGATCACACCGCTTCTGATTGAACCATGCCAAAAATGACAACAACGCTTTTGCGCTGAAAAATTCGGTAGCTAAGAAATAATTAAATTTACATGAATTCACATTTATACATTTTTAAATTCACTTCAATTCATGTCCGTATGACACTTTGCTTCATAAACAATGACGAATGATGGAATTTATTTATATAGTAGAAAAATGGCTGAATATTTATTTTTAATAATTTTTCATTATTCTTATTCGTATATGTATGTTAATTTGTAGTAAAGTGTGTATATATGTATATATATATATATATATGGAAAAATTTCGTATATATATTTATAGGCACAACGCTCACCTGTCAACGTCAGCAACCATCTGTTGTGTGTCGTGGGTGGGCTCGTCGTTGTCCGTCGCCAACGACCCATCCTAAGCAATTCTTGTTTCTCTGTCAAGTGTTTAGGTGAACTTTTGATGAGTTCTTTGAACTAGAATTTCAGAGAACAGTATAATAGTAAATACATATACATATGCACATATGTAAACAAAATTAATATTATGTTTACAAAGTCATTAAATAACTTCTTAGAAAACTTAACATTTACTTGTGTTGAAGTTTTTATTAAAGTTTACAAATGAAATAGCGATTTTTCGTATATCTAAGATTATTTTAAATAAAGTTTTCGCTAATTACGCTCCAATGCTTAGTGACTATTTTTGAACCTACCCATATTCGCCTGGGCGTATGAGCAACTACGCTGGTAAGTTCCATTAAATCCCACACAAAATATATTAAAATATGTATTATATATGTAAAATTAGAAAAAAAATTCCTTTAATAGGATAGTACAGTTCCAGTGGAGACACTCCGAAATATTCGGTTTAATGATACCCGAAATCCAATTCGCAGTGTCTGTTAACTGGAGATGCGGCTGTAAGCTGGCGTCGGTTTTGAAGCAGCGGTTTGCTATTTAAATTTGTAAGAACTCGTACCTCTCGCCCATCGGCTAGCGAAGTTTGAGTAATGAAGGCTGACGGCCTCCTCGATGGACTTCACCTGTGCCCGAAATATGATACCGAATCTCAGCATAATAAAATTATCAAGCTATTTGGTTGTTGCTTAGTCGAATAATTTGATACCTGAGTGAGCATGTTTTTAGGTGGAATACACTGCACTCACTCAAATCTGCACATCGACTCAGTTGACTTACTTGTTACAAGATACGCATTCGCCTTTGTATAGAGCGCTTTCCAAAAAACAAGGGTGAGATTCTATTTCGAGAAGCGTCAATCACTGAACGGGACGGCATTTTAAAACACCTACGTACAGCCGACAGTGAAACTAGGAATGTTCGACAAAACCACAAGAAGAGTTGGTATAATAAGGATTAGCATGCACAAGTGAAGACGAAACAGAGGAATGATATAGGGGAAAATCTAAAATTCGTGAGTGGAAAAAATCGAGGAATATGACGAGCAGAAGAATTGCTCGAAAATTTTATGAAATTATGCGGTGACCTATTACTAAGGTTTTAAGACCGTAGTAATCTCATGTATTTACCAAGGAGGTAATGAGTTTACTGAAGGAACATCTCTCCAGCCTGCGGATTGGTGAAGAGAGTTCATATGAGTGGGCCAACTTATTTCTAATATCACATATATTATCTTACCCAGAGCGTTCTGTAAACGCCAACGATTTAAGGGAACCATAGCTGCTAAATCTTTTACTGAAGAGATATTTACTATGAATTAAATTTTGTCCGAGATGCATGAAATTGGCACGCCCTCACCGCTCCGTAAAGCCACCACGAAAGGAGTTGTTCTATGTAAGAATACTAATACTGAGAATTACAAAAGCCTTCGTCAGGATACGGCAGGACCATTTCGAGCTGTACTTTAATAAACGGTGTTGCAGACACGGTAAGTTGGTAGAACCGCCTACAAAGAACTGTAGTCAGGCTTTGAATTTTCTGACAAATATATCGTTTTAGTGTATTTTGAACAAATGTTGGTCTCAACAGTTTATCCTAAGCAGCTTTTCTTTATGAGGAGTTCTTAGTTCATGTCAGAAATAACTTCGAAGGACTTGACGTTCCCTGACCAAAATTTATATATAAAATTAGTTTAATTTACTTTGCATAATTTCAAACTCTTACCATATAGCGCAGTATGTCTATAACTTTATATAATTTATACCCTTTTCATATTTTCATACCTTTCTGTGGACCGCTATAGCATATATACGACTGATTTTTCAGTTTATCTAATTTGGTATTCTTCACATATTTATTTATAATGAATTAAACATTAATAATAATATATTATATTTGGAGCTTTGTAACCCCTGGAGCGATTTTCGACCGAGCTTCTCTTCGCAAATGAGAGGACCTACAGTTTATACCAAACCACTTACGAACGGTTGATGGTTTTTTATAAGGAGATTTTATTTTATATCAGAAATACATTCGGGTGGTTAAGATTACCTGCCGAAGGGAGAGCGCAACTTAATTTTTTTATAGAAATTAATTTTCTATAATTTTTGGATATTTGGTTAAACCAGGTCTTGAACTCTGACTTTCCGAATGGCAGTACGCAAGGCTAACTATTTGGTTATTATGAAAATTATCGAATTTGTATGACTAAGTCATGTCGATTTTTCCAGATAAGAGGCCAAAACTCCGTAAAAAACATCGTATCCTGCTAATAAATATTAACACTGAAAACCAACAAAAACAAAAAACCTCTCGGAAGAGGGTGAACTCCGACCAATTTTTTTAGATATAAGCAAAAAAAAACTTTTTTTCAGAAATAAAAAGAAATAACACCAAAAACAGCTCTCTTTTCTAGTTTTATTTTTTCTAATTTAGCTTATATCAAAAATTATTTAATATTTATATAGAAAATATAATCACTTACCTTTCATCAAACTCTTGTGATTGAGTAATTCTCTCGTTTCTAACAGTCAGCTCTATGGAATAATCATCGTCCTCGGAGCATTCACAGCAACACTATACAACCATTGTAAATGATATGTTCTGCTGCTTTCTCAAATAATTAACCTCTCAGGCAGCAACCGTTATTTCCCCTGTTTACTAGCGCTTTTTAGTATTTTACTGTAAAATTTTATCACATTTGAATTTTCTTGCAACTATAATTGAAGGTGGTAAATTTATAAATGTTTATTAGGTAATTTATTTAGCAAAGTCAACCCGAGTTAGAGTTTAAAGATTTGCCTACTAATTTTTTTTATTTAATTTTGATAGAATTTAAATTCAGTGGTAACCCAAAAATATCAAGTGTTGCTTATAGAATCATATTTCTGGTTGAAATTAGTATAAAATTTAATGATTAAATTCATATATACACGAAGTTTCTTAGTTTATGAATTGACACTTGAAAAATTACACATGAAAATGAACTTAAAAAATAATAGTAAATAATTAAATAAAAACTTTGTGTCAAAAAGTCAACGAAGATTTTGTATAAAAATGATTGTTTTCCGTCCACAAAAAATGCTATAAAAAATTGTATTTAAGCACTTACTAACAGAATATAAATACATTCGATTTTTTCACTATTTAATAAATATGAAATAATTATAAATATAATACGAGGGAATTGACTAAAGTTCGGTAAGATGGCGGTGGAATTTCGTCTGACTAACCTCAGCTATAATGCGTTTTCTCGTCTCCATTTTAGCCGATAATTCAAAAATTTGAAAGGAAAAGGGAAAAAATTGAAAGCCCCCAACTGACTGAACTTTTGTTAATGCCCTCGTATAAGTAGGCGATATTAGCGGACGAAAAATTTTATTCAAACCAATTTAAACACTTCAATGCTCATTACTCGAATACAAACGAGCACGAGTTCGGGAATTTCAAGGTGAAAAAAAGGTGATTACGATTACACAAACAAAATACATAGGTTTTTTGCTACTGCCGTGTGTAAATATGCCTTGATTTATAATTTTTATGTTAAAATTTATAGAAAATTTTGGTAAAAAAATTAAAAAATTTTGTTTGTTGAACTGTTGAAATATGAAGGAATATCAAAACCCGGGCATCTCGGGCTCTAGTCATGAAACTTGAGTACTACAAGGAATGCGAAACAGTGGGGCGAAGGAACTCAAGAAAACTCAACAGAATTGCCACCCATTTTGAAATTCAAGTGTTCTGTAAGTATACCTTTCAATTTCGGTATTAAACTGAAGAGAAACCAACCCTTCATAGCACGAAAAGTAAACTTAAGTCTTAGACGCAGAATCACTGCTGTCTACTCTTGCGGTCTGAGTAGGCAATTGGAAAGTAAAGTCGTCTCTTAACGAACAAAAGCCGAATGGGACAAATCGTTCCTCATTCTCGTTCTGTTATATGATGCGGACGGGTCGGTAGAAAGATTCTGCTAACCTATGCGGCCGCGGTAGCAGAGTAGTTAGCATTACGTACCGCCATTCGGAAGGCTCGGGTTCAAATCCCCGTGGGACCAACATCCAAATATTAGAGAAAATTCATTTAAATAAAAAATTAAGTTAAATTTTCTAATTGCGTTCGCCCCTCGGCAGGGAATGTCAACCCCTCCGAGTGTATTTATGACATGAAAATCAAACCTCATAAAAGAACAGTCAGCCGTTCGGAGACGGCTTAGTATAAACTGTGGATTCCTCCATTTGTTGGAGAAACATCAAGACGCGAAACCACAAATTTTTGGAGGAGCTCGGCCGAAATTCGCTTCAGCGGTTACAAAGCGCCAATTATATATATGCGTTATATTCGATTACATTAGCAGAGTTCGGCGAATTACAAACATTGGATGCGCGCTTTAAAAATATTCGATGCAGTACTCAATGCTAGACGTAGATGAGATGATGACCCGCATTGCGTTGGAAAGAGAGCGGAAGGTGGCAAAAGAAAGAAGCGACTGACTCACTATTCTTGAAGTCGACATGACTGCAAATCATTGAAACTTGTTGCACATAATTCTATTTGATTGAAAGACCAATTACTGTAGCCAACTCACCAAAAACTATTAGCGGGGTGAAAAAAGAAACGATATTTTTTTATATTTCCATATATACGGCCAGCAGCAGGATCTCCATACAGAAATAAATCGCTAAAGAAAAGCCAAAACTAATTTAGCCAATGTAAAATAAGATTTTATGAGCTAAAAGTAATTGTCACACGCCCACTTTATGCCGTCTCACGCGTCGTTCAAATCTAATATTAAATAAAAATCATTTTCATACTCACACACATACATACATATTCGCAATTTTAACAAAATATAGTAAATACTAAGTGCTATAGGACATTATTTACTTCGGCATGGAAATTAAGTTGTATATATTTACAGCAAAGCAGAAGAGGACAGCCAAAAAGTGTGACAGACAAACGAGCATTTCACGCCGTTGTGGTAAATGCCGTAATAAATTTTGCTATAAAAGTGTGGGTGAGCGCGTCGCATGCTCACATTGAACTCTGGCAAATTATCAAAAAGAAGGAAAATTAATTTTAAAACAGAAAAAAAAAATAATTTGATAAAAAATAAAAATTAAATTAAATTTTTTTGTACGCACGCTAACGCCTTGGCTGACAACGAGACATTAAGCGTATACAAACATACGAAAACAACAATACATAAATAAAATATTTATCTATATTTGTGCTATGCCAACTTGGAGTGAGGGTAAGCGTGTATGTATGTATTTTGTGTTAAATCTATTTCTGTGCACCTCACGCTCATTTGGTAATACGTAGACAACAAAAAATATATAATATATATTTGAAGATATGTATTTATCTAAAGAAAAAATTGAACAAAAAAAATTTGCGGACTACATGTACATATATGTACAGACTTGACCAAAAGTATTAGGCACCCCACTAAAATACAAGTATTCTAAAATGTGGCTATCAAAGTTACCACTTCTTTTTGTAAATATCTTAAATGGGTGTTTAACTGTTGATTAAACGAATAAATTGTGCAATATTAAACGTCCAAGCACTCTGGGTAAGCTAAACCTGAAAATGGTCATTTTTGAGAAATTCATAAAATATTTTCGCATTTAAAATTTAAAACTGAAAGTTTAAATTACCTTTAGTGAAAAGTACGAATCTTATAAAAACAATGCAGATTTACCGAAATGCCAGAAAAAAAGTGAAATTAGTTACGATGATAGTGTTGGAATTCAAGTTCTAAGTGAAGAAGGTAAGTCTCAGGTTGAGATTGCCAATTTGGTGGGATGTTCGCGGTGTGTGGTCCAATGTGCTATCAGGCGATTTGGGGAGACGAAATCCCATAAAAATAAAGCAAAAAGTGGAAGAAAGCGTCTAACGAGTAAACGTGAAGATCGTACACTCACACGCGAGTCTCTCAAGGATCCCAAAAAATCTTCTTCTGCTCTTGCAGCTGCTCTTTCGGATGAATTTAGTAAACCAATTAGTGCACAAACAGCTAGAAGAAGACTTCTGGAAGCAGTTCTAAAAGGATGTAAAACCCGAAAAAAGCCGTGGCTCTCAAAAAAGAATTGAGAAATTTCACGAAAGAAGATTGGTCGAATGTTCTGTAGTCTGATGAATCAATCTTCAAGGTAAGCTTACTTAAGATCGTCTTAAAGTATTAACCGCCATAGCTTCTTACTATATAGTAATTTTGAAGACATAATACAAATCTTATGAAAACACTATTTTTTCTTTTCTGCAGACATTTGGAACACATGGTTTGACGTTCGTGAGGCGACGGGTTGGGAAAGATTATCATTCTGATTGCATGGTACCCACTGTTAAGCATGGAGGACACTGAAAATTACATAAATGCATTAGAAGCTGTTCTTCTGCCTTCGTTAACGCGCATTTTCGACGATACTAATTTAGACGGGGTTCAATTTCAGCAAAACAATGCTTCTTGTCACAAATCAGCGAACTACGAAGCGTTGGTTTTGTTAGATTGGCCTGCACAGTCTCCAGATCTTAATCCCATTGAGCACATGTGGGATCTTTTTTAAACACAAGATTAAGGAGCACAGTATAACATAAAAAACTGCCTTAAAGAATGTCTTAATTAACAAAATCGAAAAGCAGGTAGGCTATAAGCGCGGACGAATGTGCGAAGCTTGTACGCAGCATGCCTAAGAGAACTGCTGACGTTATCAAATCGAAAGGTGGACCTAATAAATATCAATGTTATTTTCACTAATTCGTTGTGTTTTCCCTGTTTTACTAATAAAACTTCAGTACTTCACTTGTTAAAATAAAAAAAATCAGGATTTAATAGGGTTGCCTAATACTTTTGGCCAAGGCTGTACATATAATATATGTATGTTTGTTTGAAAACAAAACAAAGAAAAGTTCTTGTTTTCAGCTTACTTTATCTCCTCTTAATCTTCTGGTTTATCAATTACCATATTCTAATGTAAATATTTATGAAAGTGTCATAAATGCTTTACTTTTGCTATAACAAACGACAAGTGCTGACCGACGGACGTGCGCTGCGTACAAGTATACGTAATATAAATATTAAAATCTTCATCTTGCGGACGTAACAGGTGGTTTTGCTGTAGAAGCGATTCATTTTTGGGATTAAAGTAAATATTTATATGTAATACTTTTCACATTTTTCGTGAAATTACTTATATTTAATTTCGAAATTAATTTACAGCTGTTATTTTTAAGTAAATAATTTTTTTAATATACAGTAATTTTCCCATTCAACGAACATTCGATTCTACTAAATTCGCATATAACGAGCCAGGCAGTTTCTCACATTGAGTACCTTGAATAACGAATAAGTTAACTGAAAGAGTTATCGGTTTAACTATTAAACGCATATCATTCTGAACTCAAATTAATGAAAACAAACAATTCAAATTAGCCGGTTACGCCTGTGTGGGTTGGCGTATCGTAATTATCAGTTTTGTATTTTCCTGTAATATGCAAATATCCGAACATTTAAGTTAAAAAAAATAATAATAATAATAATAATGAGAGATCTCACATCTTTTCATTACTGATAATATTGTACTATATTTTTGTTAGTATAAATAACAGAACTTTCTTTATTATTTTAATTAATCATTAATTATTTGGAGCACTGCACTGTTATTAAATTGGTTGTAAAAAACGGAGGTATCCCGAAAGAAATGTTTAAAGAGATATCATCGGTGATGAAAAAATGAGCTCAGTTGTTTCAATAAGGAAGAGGGACTTGTGAAGATGAGACAGTCTCTGGCCGCCCCACTGATGGTCGTGACCGAAGAAAATGTTCAGAATGTCGAAAACTGGCTGATGGATTTATAAAAATCTACCATCCCACCCTATAGTTCGGATCTGGAGCGCAGTAGCCCTTCGGGAATAATTAAAGTATAAAAAAACAAATAAAAAATTGGTTTAGACAATTCAATTCAGCTCCTCATCGTCTTGAATGCGATATGAATTTCGGTGGGACTCGATGAAGTGCACCATCAGGTAATTTTCGAAGTATAAGCATCAAGTGGTCGGACTGCGAAGAGAGAAAGAAACTATCTTTTAATTAATTTATTATGACTAGAAGTACAATAAGGCTTTCGACTCTCCCTTTTGAGGTGTGAAATCGTAATGCAACAAATTTTCTTCATTATACATATGTATGTACATATTGGCCTTCGATCTTGATTGATCTTGTCACTGGGCACAATCTGCGGCATCCCATGTAAAAATAATGTATACATATGTACATAAACCATTAAGTTTCTGCGAAAGTTTAATGTTCATTGACGAAACAAAGATTGACATTTTGGGATCTGATGGACGTCAAATTGTATGGAGAAAGCCAAACACGGAACTGCGAAATAAAAATTTAGTCGGTACAGTGAAACTTGGAGGTAGTTCAGTTTTGCTGTTGAGGCCTATGGGAGCTAATAGAGTGGGCTCACATTCGATTTATTGAAAGGAATTTTATTTGAATATATTTAAGTCTTATTTACGTGCAAGCATGGAAAAAATAAAGCTTCCGTCAGTGTTGGTTCCAGCAAGACAACGATCCAAAACGTACAACGATGAACGATGATTAATGCTACCTGTTAACCTAAACGGGGTTAGGTCGCCAAAAGGCTGACAGCCCTTGGCCAGATAAAATCGGATCTTGAGTTGATATCTTAGCCCAACTTAGGTCTGGCTATGGTAGCAGGTTAAACTCTTACTTATCCATACTCGACTCCAGCATATCCAACGTATGCCCTGCATTTGGAGAGTCTTCGCATGACACTAACCACATCTTCACATGCCCTGCATTTGGAGAATATCCGCACGATACTAACCACATCTTCACATGCCCCCTTAAACCGACTCATCTAAACCCCCCTCCCCCTTTGGCCCAATATCGTCGAAACAGCCTGTTTCTTGGACCTCCCACTAGATGAGGTCGGCGACTTGGAATAATCAAACCTGTACCTAAGCGGAGTTAGCGAACCGTTACAACAACAACAACATACAACTATAATAGTGAAAGAAAAACAAAACATCTTAACGCTCTTCCACAATCCCCAGATATGAACCACATACGTGTAGAACATTTATGTGGAGAACTGAAGTCCAAGCTGTAAAAATCTTGTCTCCGTACAAAAAAATAACTTAAAAAGGAAATTATCGAAATATGGGGCGAAATGTCACTTAATTTTACAAAAAAAAAATAGTAGACTCGATTCCTCGGAGGTTGCAAGCCGTAATAGATGCAGCTAGTGGACCCAAAACCTATTAAATAAAAAAAATAAGTAAATTAAATTGTTATTTTCGATGGAGTGTGTACTCAATTTTGAGACCTAAGACCTGTGCATACTCATTTTTGTGAGTAACTGTATATTCATATGCATACATTTATATAGAAGATCAGCGGCAGAGCAAACGTGGATATCAATTTCAATTTGAATTAGGCAGAGGAAAAAAATATAGTGTATACATACATATGTATATTAAATATTATTTTTTTCCCAACAAAAAAATAGTTTCCTTTTTAGTTCATCTATTTTAATAGAACTGACACCCAATACGAGCTTTAATTAAAAGCGATTTAGAAATAAAGTAAAGTTAAATGAAGCAAATATAGGGTTTTCCAATAAGAGGTGTTATTACAGGACCGTAGGCATTTTATGAAAATTTCCATCACAAAATCGAAAAGCAGCTTGACGTTGGCCTGTTGGCATGGCCCCAAAGGAAGAAGACAAGATCTCGGTGTCCAACTGTGATTACCTCTTCGAGAGTTAACACGGTCCAGAAACTTTTCCCTTAAAAAATCTATAGTTTTGGTGTTTGTATGGCACATAGCGCTGTCTTGGTGAAAGTAAACGATGTCTCTCGATGGCACAATCCATTCTACTGTAACTCTTGACCCAGGCTCACTTTCGAAAATGAAAAGTCCAATTACACTACCGTACTGCGAACCGCAACAAACGTTCAAATGTTGAGGATGAAGAGATTTTTCAACAAAAAATCTTGGATTTTCCGAACCTCAGACGCGATAGTTTTGCTTAAAAACGTAGTCATCGAGGCGAAAATGAGCCCCATTAGTCCAGATGTTTTCCGACGAATTCTAGATGATTTTAACGCATTTCAAGGACTCAGCATTTGTTGATCAGCCGGCATGAATTCTTGTGTTAACTGAACTTTATTAGCCTGAAACTCAAGTCTTTATTCAAAATACGGTGTAATGACGTTTGTGCAATGCCCAATTTCAAAGAACGATGGGGAATGGACAAACCTGTGCGATTTTCAACACTTTCGGCTACAGCAGCAATATTCTGAGCTGTTCTTGAGCAACGTATATGTGTTCAATTATTCACATCACTAATTTGTGCTCCATTTTTTACATCGATTTCCGTATTTCGGTCCGACAAGGTGCTTCACGGTGACCGAAAAATCTTTTAGTTATGCAAATCGTCTCTCTGTCAGTTTTCACTATTTTTATAGTGAATTTTAATCATTTCAATGCGTTGTGGAAGCGTGTATCGTTGCATTTGCAGTACTCATGTAGTTTTTACTTGTCAAATGCCAAAAGTTTGAAAACTGACATCTGCCAAAATAACAGCTTATTCAAACAACAACTCAACTCTAATTGGAAAACCCTTTAGTAGAGAATAACCGGAAGAGGAAAAAGAGCAAAAACAAAATGTCAAACCTAAAAATTTACATGCCAAAACAAAAACAATGCAAATACTCGTATGCATGTGTGTATATTTGTATATACAACACTAGCCACTGTCACTGACGCTTGCATTGAAAGCAATCAAAAAGAAGCAATGTGTCTACTGACGCTATTTTTACGAAAAAACGGAAGCTGCGCGACAGTCAAGCGTCAAGTGTGCCAGAAAAGTTTGCTTCTATAACACATACACGCGTGTGTACGGGTATGTGTGTCACGCTTAGGAGGGCTATCTCACTGCTGCATGTCAACAACAATTTTATGTAATCCACTGATTTATCGATTGCCGAAGTTGAAAGCAAAAGCAAACATAAAAACAATAAAAAAAAACCTTTAGGCCTGCTGTTATTGCAACAATTCATTGCTGTTGCTGTTGTCGCGACAGGGTTTCATAAGAAAATCGATTTGGAGAATGCAGAAAGGCCATTAAAGAAGGTGACCAAAAGAACATACTCGTACATAGCATATAATAGAGGTAAACGCGCATAGCTTCCATACATACATTTACATACGGGTATGTAATGGTAAATGAGTTTGCTTACATACATTTATGTATATGCATGTATATTTGTTGTTGTTGTTTTTTTTAATTGTTTGGTTTGCAAGGCTTAATATGGAAAATTGTGTCAGCAGCAACAACAACAATGAGTGACATGTACTACCAAAAAAAATAATTTTTTTTACAACACGCCTGTAAGTAGGCTATGAAGTTCATCAAAAATATCTATGCCAACTGCGCTGCCAGCGTATGTCCTTACAAGCAACCCAACTTTCTGCAAAAAAAAAAAAATTTCACTTTCCTTTCAACAATTTCTCGTTTGCATTTTCACTATGGATTTTTAACAAAATCTCCACCTTTTGTGCATAATTACATTTTATTTCATTTGATTTCTTTGGCGTTTTTGCAATAACTTCACTTTGTATTCCTTCGCTCCGACTGCTGCGTCCAACCGCTGCTCCTTGCTTGGCACACAATCAATTCATCGATTCTTTCGCACTTTTACACTGACGCACTTTTTCATCTCAAAATTTCAATTGAAATGCCTGCAAAAGCACACACGCATTACTTCATTGCATGCACTTGTGAAGAATTTATTTAAATTTTCGCACATTTTCATTTGTTTTCCGCATATTTTACTTTCTTATTCACCAAATTTTCATGAAGAAAAAAATTCTTTTAAAACTTTGCTTGCTTTTTCTGCTATGTAGTATATACGCGTAAGTATGCGTGTGTGTGTGTGTGTGTTGCAGACGCCGTGTACGTGCGCTCGTGTCTTTCTAGTTCTGTTGCACGTTATCTGCCGTTATGAGAGCAACTGAATCGGCCGAAAGCGTTTGCTTGGTCGCTCAGTCACATTTTAGCCGAATTATTTGGCCATTGCCTTGTTGTATTGTGAGTGCTTGACATGTGTGAGTGTTTTTGTTTTCATATTTCGTGATATTTCCCTTTCGAAAGTCGAAAATGTACACCTGTCCTCAGGGATGCCAAGTAAAATTGTTTCTAATAGCCAGATGAATATTTATCCTGGCGCTAGTGTTTGAGCAGATATCAGTTATTGATTGTTTTTCTGTAAGCGTTGGTGTCGAATTTGTGGTGGGAGAGAGACTTCGTCGCCGAGTACTGGCATACACTCTGGTGGATGAACTTCTCGCCACAGTCCACACGAAAGCAAAATTTGTTAACATATTATTGCTTTGCGCCCACGCTCCTATGGGAGAGAAGGACGATGTGACCATGGATGATTTTTACGAGCACCTCGAATATACTTATGGGCGTTGCCCCCGCCACTTGGCTAATTTGCTGTCTCCAAGCCGAAAAGCTCTTAACCAGTTGGATCATGTTGTGATTGACGGAAGACATGTATCCACTGTTTTAGACGTACATACGTAAGTTCCGAGGTCCTAACATCGACTCGGATCACTATCTTGTCACAACGAAGATACGCACATCTCTACTTATCAAAGAATGTCCGTCAACAAACACAAGTAACAAACAAGTAACAAGTAACACAAGAATGTTCGACGTTGAAAAGCTGCAATCACAACAGACTGCCGAGCGATTATCTACTCGGCTTACACACCTGTTTTCTGAGAGCACTCATCAGCACCTTTGACTTAAGGGAACTGTGGACCGGTATCTTAAACTAACTACACACCACCGCTACGGAAACAATTGATTTTCGGCAGTGCCAGAAAAAGAGATGGTGCGATGAGGAACGTCGAACTGCACCGGAGAGAAAACAGACTGCCTACAGAAAGATACGGCGACTTATGGAATGTTTCAAGACCGCAGCAAACACTTGTACAACCCAGAGGGGTGATCCAGTGGCGGATGCCCAGACTATGCTGAACTTATGGAGGGAACACTTCTCCAGCCTACTGAACGGCAGTGAAAATGAAACACCCGGAGAAGGTGTTCTGAAACTTCTATTGATGACGATGGAAAAGTTGTTCCATTAGCCGACTATGAAGAAGTCCGAATAGCAATTAAAAAACAACAAAGCGGTGGGGGCCAATGGATTACCGGCCGAGCTGTTAAGAAATTATCAGGTGCATGCTCAGCTCCTTTGTAAAATATACTGACATGAAAGCATGCCCGACGATAGGAACCTGAGTTGTTTTTTACCCAATCCACAAAAACGCGATCCCGCAGTCTGCTCCAACTACCATGAAGTAAACCTTCTTAACATTGTATATAAGGTCCTATCAAGCGTATTGTGTGAAAGACTAAAAGCCACCGTCAACAAATTATTTAGACCTTATCAGTGTGTCTTCAGACCTGGTAAGTCAACCATTGGCCAGGCGCCAAATCTTGGAAAAGACCCATGAAAACCACGACACCTTTTTGTCGATTTTAAAGCGGTCTTGGACAGCACGAAAAAGAGCAGCCTTTACTCCGCTTTGCCTGAATATGGTAAGCGCAGTCAGAATTGGGGAAGACCTCTCCGAGCCGTTCGGTACCAAATGAGATTTCAGATAGGATGACTCTTTATCGTGTGCTGCAGAGCTGAATAGAGAAGGTACAAACTTTTACAAGAGTGTACAACTTCTGGCATATGCCGATGATATTAATATTATTGACGCCGTGAGTTCTGATTACTCCAGACTGGATAAGAAAGCGAAGCCAATGGGTCTGGTAGTGAACGAGTGTAAGACAAAATATCTCCTGTCATCAAACAAACAGTCATCGCATACTCGACTCGACTCGGATCCCATATCACTGTTGACAGCCATAACTTCGAGGTCATAGATAATTTCGTCTATCTAGGAACACCAATAATAAAGTCAGCCTTGAAATCCAACGCAGAATCACTCTTGCCAACAGGTGATACTTTGGACTGAGTAGGCCTCTCTCGGCGAACGAAAACCAAACTCTAGTCGCTCATCACACCAGTCGTACTATATGGCGCAGAGGCGTGGACGATGTCAACAGCTGATGGGTCGGCTTTGGGAGTCTTCGAGGAAGAAGTTTTGCGAACGATTTATAATCCTTTGCGCGTTGGCAACGGCGAATACCGCAGACGATGGAACGATGAGCTATATGAGATATACGGCGTCATTGACATAGTACAGTGAATAAAGAAATAGTTGCTGCGCTGGCTAGTCATTTGGCCCGGATGGATAAGAGTGCTCCAACTTTGAAAGATTTTGATGCAGTTCCCGCTGGTGGAAGCAGAGGAAGGAAGGATCAGCTGAAGAGTGACCTGGTTTAACTTGGTTTTTCCAACTGCCGAAAAGAAGCGATGAATGTCATACTAATATTGATTCGGCTATATTAGCGTTAGCGGTGCGCGCATTTAATAAGCAAACAATTACAATGAAGTTACTATAATATGGCAACTGGTATTCCGCAATCTCAAGATCTCTTTGAATATTTTGTACGATATATTATATGTATGCATATATGTATTTGTACATATATAAACAAAAGTGATTCTTATAAGATCCTTATAAATTCCCAACTGGAAGTAGTAGAATGTGATAGCTGTGAAATCGACATACATAGATATCAAATGAGCATGCACTAACAAATTGTTCAGAAAAAAAAACAATTTTTTTAAATACATGCATGATAAAGCAGATAAATACGAGTAAGTGTGCAATCTTTTGAAAATCGGAAAAAAATTAGGTAAATAATTTTATTGCCCCTAATTTTTCTGTCCACCTAAAGCCCCTTAAGAGTAAAGTTTTTGGTGCATATTGAACCAAATTAAATTTAATATTGTAAAAATGTTTAAATCGCTTAGTACAATGGCCAATTTTTATTAATGAAAATTTTAAGATTTAGTATCATGTAGAATTTAAATTAAATTTACTCAAAGCCGTATTAATACACTACTACGTATACATAAATTCAGTGTCTAATATTACACAAACGAGATTCCTTATATTGCGCATGAGGTTTATATAACATACATTTATTTATTTTATCTTTAATCGTTCATTTCAAATATAGTAATTATTTGGTAATTTGAATTTTGTTTACGTTTGATGAATTTTTTTCTTAAAACAAAAATGTGCCAGATTAGCAACCATTTTTTATTTCGCAAGTTGATCGTAAATACAAAAAGCTCTTTATCTTAAACCTAAAAAATCATATTCATGTATATATGTATGTATGTGTTTATGTATATAGCTGCAATGTAAGTGATATTTCTTTTAGCCTTTAGCCTTTTTCAAATCTACTAGAATCTTGAAGGCGCTCTACACGTTTGTCCAACGTTGATTAAAATGTTGATTCAATGCATCGGTAACATTTCGTTGGAAATTAAGTGATGATAGTTATTGTGTAGTTTTCTTCAAATGTTCTGTGTACACTCGACTATAAGAAGTCATTGCAGTCATTTTCCTATGAAAGAGTCTCTTCACTCAGATTGCATGAAAACAAAAAATTTTAATATTAAAACACTTTCTTTTACAATTTAGAACATTCCACCGTATGGAGCATCAAATTCACTATCTCTCATCGAGTAACCAAATATGGTTAAATAATTAATCACATTACTAATCAACGTAAGTGTAGCTGCAGTCCATGTAATCTACAAATGCAATGATTTATTAAGCAAGTTTAAATTGCAAGAGCATGGTATGTAAAACATTTGCCTTACCACATGACTATGCGCCAGTACTATGGGAAACGCAAAAGCACTCAGCACCATACCAGCGCAGAGAAATAGAGCAAACTCCGTTTTCGGATTAGTCTCACTGCCTTGGTTAAAGCGTTTCGCTATGAATACCGGTAAAACGGATAGAACGTAGAATAACAATACAAAAAATGGATAGAAAATTTTTGGTTGTGGCACCGCACAAGCCAATATGAGGAAGGTCATGCCCAAGCATGTTAAGAATGCACAAATCAATAATCTGCAAATGGGTATACAAAAGTAAAAAAAAATTTAAATACAATAGAACGCAATTATATTGATAATGTTGGAGCTTTGTATCTTTTGTTCACTTACGCTATTAGATACACAGTCATTCCGTCAAACCGTTGAAGGAGTAGCGCAGCAATGGAATAAATAAAACGAAAATGGTATTAAAAATAAGAAGGAAGTTTGTTCCAGAATTATGCTTACCTTTCAAAGCAGCCATTTTATCAAATATTTGTTTTGTTTATGGAAAATTTTCACTAGATATACTTATACGTGTTTACGAAAAATTATTATATTTGCATTAATCATCAGCAAAACAACCAAGTGTAATTGTCAAAAATGTAGCGCTATCGGACTCATCGAAAATGGATATGTACTGATTATCAAATTATTGTGGTGATTATGCTGAAATTCTTATTGCATGCTTTTTACTTATATTTATATAAGAAGTATTTTTGTTTCCCTTTAACTTGCTGTTAAACGCGAAACAATTTCGTTGTAATTACAGTTTCAATGTTAAGTAGATTGAGTAATTTCTTTTAATACAGTGTGGTAGCGCTATTAGGAACAGTTTGTTGTTTGTGTAAGTAACAGCTGTTTCCCAATTCGTAGGGTTGCTTTTACAAATGCATTAAAATGAAAAGAGCGGATATTTTAATTTTCATATTTATAGAAAGCGGAAATGAGTAAATTAAAGAAATATTCTTTTTTTAATATTTCGGAAAATATAAGGAGTAAGTATACACATACCACAAATATGAAATATTTGGAAAGTATTTTGGCAGCTATTATATTTACATATGTATTAAAATGTATAATTTCCTTGCGGCTGATTATTTATCTTTTCCAGTTAGCAAGTAAGGGAAAGAAAGAACGTGAACACTACGTTGAAGTTATATATAAAATGACTAATTAGACTTCGAATATGACATCGCATAAGCTCGCCCCTAATAGTTAATCCTTTGCTCCCAATTTGACCAGCATAAAATTTCTTAAGTTTTACACTACGCTTATGAACTTACATACATATGTATGTATGCGTGTAGTAATCATTCATGGCCGGATCCTGCAGATGAAAATGGCAAAACTTTGATGTAAAGCTTCAGTATATGTGGAATTTAGTTTTTCAACCATTATGGTAAATTTTTCTCCCTTAAGAATCGTTTCCTGATCCGCCCCTGAATCGAAGGTGCCCGAGCTTACTCGTCTGCTCGGTTCCTTTTTACTTTTTTTTTTTATAAATTTGTGGACTAACATACATAGAAATAAATATTCCGGATTTTATTATACAGTTATAGTTCAAGGCTGTAAAGCAAATAACAAAACTAATAACAATATTTATGTATGACTATAAGTGTATTTACCGCAAGCAAATCAGCCACTGGAACAAATGGATAAGAAGCGAACGTGACCGATTGAAAGACTTTGCTGAGCCAATTAAGAATTAAAAGCAAAAAGTGAACTATTTGCCATTAGAGGGGCATATAAAGAAGGAACGTACACAATACATGGCTATGAAGCTACGGCACTTGGCTTTGACTAAAGCAGCTTGTATGATTTTTATGGTTATACTATTAGCTGATAAGAGTACTACATACAAATCTACGTTATGTTTGTATTCTGAAGTATGTATAAAACAACAAACATGGATCAGATGGTGCTTAATTTCAAATGGTAACCTATCTAGCGATATCTACGTATAATAGAACGCGTACTTGCATACATCCATATGTACTATATATTTAGAGCTTTTCTATGCGCAAAACCCACACGTCACTGGGCCACAAACACAACGAAATCAACAAAAACTCGAGCTCGTGCCTGCAGAATATCTGCAAATGTTTGTTTATTTGTTTGTGAGCGCCGAAAAAGTTCAATGGAGCAACCGAAATGGGATGCGCATGTGCACAAAATCCATCAAAATAATTTCATTGATGAAAAATTTCGTCCTATCCCACATGGAAATACATAGATTCAGTACGGTGTGGCTAAACACCACCCGCGCTCTACACCTGCTGCTAATGTTGCTGCTGCAGCGGCAAACACAGAGAACGTACATACACACATACGCTCTCTGGTAAACATTGTAGTTAAAACAGAAACAAAAAGCGCAGAGCGAAAAATTGTTGGCCAATATTTCAAGCTAAAGAGAGATATGCTCATAGAGAGGCGAAGGAGAGCAAAAGCAACTGTATGGGCTAGCGAATAAGTTCGCCCACCAAAAGTTCGTAGCTTTTATTAATTCTACTGTACCGTCTGCTCAGGGGATTTCAACTTTGTTTGGTATACGATTTTTAGGTTACCATAAGATTATCATGGCGGCCGCAGTGAATGCCGGGCCCTTTTAGTTTTTCTGAATGAAATAAAAATTCCACATAAAAGTCCTTCGGCCAAACGGGGGCGACTTTGAATAAACTGTGGGTTTATGTTGAAAGGAACATTAAGATATACACTTCAGCCGAAAATTTATAAAATAATCATAAGAGACATAGGCTTGCATATTCAGATGTGTCACAGATGTGTGAGTGTCACCAAGACATACATTCATAGAATTACTAGACACACTACATGGGACCAAACTCTACTGCTACACTCCTATTATGTCTCTAGTGTGTTCTTTTCGGTTTTAGATCCTATAGGCTTTCTGGGCCAAGCATGCATAGCCTTTGCATGCCGAATGTTGGACACATATAACGTGCTCCCCAGTCTCCACAGAATCCTTAAATTTCACTTGCTCTTTTTGTCCCCAGATAGACCTATATTAAAAAATATGCAACGCCAAAAGACAATTCTCCGTTAATAGCCCTATATCGACCTCTCTATAGATAGTAAAAACTTTGTAAGTTTAGCAGCATACGTTTCGCACGTAGTTTGCGCGATTCTGCAGCGCTTAACTCGTTCCTAAAATCCATTCACTATTAATAAGTAGTATTACTTCTTTCTTTTTTTACTTCCCTGTATGGAATAGGAAGGCTCATTACTACGCCCTGTTCTAAATAGACACCCTCCTCAGCCAGTTTGTTTCAATCCCCCTGTGATCTGGTCCCCAGTAATAGTTCTTGAATTGCCCCTTTCCATTGTGCGGCCTTAGCTGGCTTTGTGCTGTATGAAATTTAGGCTTTGATGGCTGGTTGGCTATCCATATAGATGGATGCCGAAAGCCTATTCCTCATTTTCGATAGCCGTTTCTATCTACCACACGACATTATGTAATGCTGGGTCTGCCGATTTACCCTTTGTTCGTTCGTAGTTTTTCGAATTGCCCATCTTTCAGACGCTGTAGAAAAATCGAAGGCAAGCTGATTGGGCGATAGTCCTTAGGGAACAAGTGCTCTGTCTTGCTTATATTACTACTCTTACCGTTCGCCTTGAAACTAGGACGTAGATTTCCTTAAGTCTCGAAGATCTTGTTTTAAATAATAAATTTAATATTTTAAAAGATTTAGTCCACTGGACGAATTTACCATTTTCTATTTACTATATCTAAGAAAAAATTAACTTTAAATTTGTTTAACGCGCTAACCCAAAAGCCTTACACTCCTTAAGCTGCCTCCGGACAACTGATGAATTTTTAAGGTGAGCTTTTCTACATGCCAGAAGGACACTCGGATGAGTTAATATCCGCTTCAAAGGGGGATCGAAATTAGAAATTAACCTCATAATTTTGGATGTTGGACTAGCAAAGGTTCGTTAGCACTCATCGCAAACCACTCGGCCACATCTTTTGGTGAATTCAGCTCTGTCTTACTTCCTACTTTTCGCCCCACACAACGAGCACTCAGTACAAACTATCGTTAAGCCAATGCCACCGCCACCTGTTCGTTCGTATTTCAATGAACTAAAGAAACTTGAATGTAAAACCGATTCACAGAAAAAGTCAGAGTATGTACGAGTATATGATAGAGGTCGAGCAAAAAATTTTTATAATGGTTATTAGAGCTTTTGCTGCATATTTGCTTATACAATTGGTTAATTATACGCTTGCGCGTTCCCGATAACTGAGAGGTGGTAGTGATGTGGTCCGCATAGTGGGAAAAAATGGCAACAAAAAGGTTTTGAGATTTGGCCGAGTGAAGTAAACAGTTTTCGAAAAAATAAAAAATCATGTTTACTATATTTGGTTAGGTTTCGGCTTTCATTGATTACCGATCGTATTCATATCCGAGCTTTATTATAAGCACAAGCTACCGTGCTATTCATCAACCTTGGTAATGCTTTATGGAGTTTGGTATTGTGCTTGCCAATGAATAAAACCTTAAGACGGCACTCTTTTTCTTCTTCATTAGCATGGTTCATACCATGCGCAGCTGTTTATTTCTTTCGCTGCTCGGTGACAATTATAAACATTATGCGAAGCCACTTCCTTTTGTACTTGATATTCCGCATTTTACTCTATTCTACTCCGACCAAATCTTAAAGTTTATTATGGATTCTCCGAAGTTTGCGGGGTGTAAGGAGTAGAAAAGTCGTATAAGAGTTTCAAATCCTTCCTTTCATTATGGACTTCATTTTTCTCAACCAAGTGTCACTGCCGTAACACTGTGCAACACTCATAGATTGGCATACTCACCACCAATGACCAACCAACCGGCTACTGTATCCTTTGTCTCCCAAAGCTTGGTTATTTTTTTCTCCCCTCAACTTTTGCTACTTAATATCCATTGCAGTCAATGGCAGAAATAGCAGAAGAAACGGGAGCAAGAGCAGCAGGACAGCGACAGTTTGGCGTACTATATACAAAGCCCATCGTCGCATACATACGCTCTCCATCACACAGCTGCGGAGGCGTTGAGAAAAAAATTAGCGTATGCGACCATTAACATTTTGCGTCATAGCTAGCAAGAGCTACAAGTTTCAAACGCAACACGCGATTCGGAAGGAGGTTGCCGAGTGTACAAACGACAGCGCAGCGGACGAAGGCGATAAACGATGAACGAATGTGTGGCGACCAAGCTTCAACTGTGGGACGTTAACGTCAACATTTTCAGTACAACGGGACATTTCGTTGCTACCAAAACGAACGAAAACGAAACGGAAAAAGTAACTTCAAGTTAAAAAAAAGAAACTTTTACAGCTAAGCAACTAAAATATACACACAGCCAGCAAACGCCTACACAAAAAGTGGAAAATTCTGTGAAAAATCAACAAATTGTGCTGTTGAAAATTGTGAAAAACATTTATTAAATTCAACTGTGAGTCAATTTGTGTAGCATATTGTTGGGCGCAAGTGAAAAAATTAGCAGCCAAAGGGAAAAGCTGTTAGCTGCAGTTGGTGGAAAAAAAAATTTGCTTACTGCCTACGCGCGTATGAAAATCGATACGAAAACGACCAACGACCGTTCGGTGGAGGCGCGGCGTGTTGTATATAAAACAACAACAACTGCAACAATAATAGCACTGGAGTGTACACTGCATTAAAAGGGCAAACGCGTAACAAAGCGTGCGTACATACATACATACATACAAAAGTACGTACGCACAGCCACACGCACCGGCAGGTCAGCTCAGCTCAAGTACGTAGCCGCCATATGGCAGCTGTAAAAAGGGGCAAAACGCAGCTTTAATTGCAATTCGCAATTGGATTTGCAGTACAAATAGCAGGATTGTATTGGACGCAGTACTTTGTAATTAATTTGCAACCGCAATTGCAGTAAAGCAAAAAGACGAAAAGGGAAGTGACAGTGACTGAGCTGCAAACTCTTAAGACGCAGTGAAAAAAATTATAGCTAACAACAACAACAACAACAGCAGCAGCAGTAATCATGGTTCACCATATTGAAATTGCGTTGCCGCTGCTCGTTGCAGTGGTGTTTAACATTTTAGGTCACTGCAATATGAGCATTTACCCAGGTAGGTATTGGTTACAAATAGCACAGAACGCAATTACAATAACTACAATTTGTGTACATATTTACAATCACAAAAGTAACAACAATTACCCTTGATTACAAATACAATTACAAGCCGGACACAATACGCAACCCTACACCCACAACCAGCATAATGCTCAACAATTCCACTCAACTCCACCATTCTATGTACTATATGTATAAGTAAAAGCATAAAAAAAAACTCTGTGAAGCACATTACAAATATATAAATTTAGAAATCGAACTGGAATTAGTCGATATTTATAAACGCAAGGACAACGAAACCATTCAGAGTACATGCAAACCATTCAAAGAGCGTTCCGTTAAATAGGAAAAGAAGAAGATACAGCAGGCGCAAGAAAGCCGACCAACGGACGGACATACATTACACCAACACTTTCAACGACTTGCCTTGGGCCATTCGTTCCATTTCGCCTTTTGCTATTTTTAAACATTTTCATTTAGTATTTGCGTGCCGAATGGCCATTCCCTAGCTTACCAGTTATTTACTTATACACATACATACATATATACAGCCATACGTATATAAAAACGCGAAAAAAACACCATGTCATGCCAAGCACCAGTGTTCAACCAGCTAACTTCGTATATGAAACGAAGATAGTCGAAGTGTTAAGGATACGCGTGTGGTTATGTATGTTTGTATGATTGTAGTTTGGCTTCGTTAGGCAGGAGTGTTGAATTTAACACGCAATAGCAATCAATTGAACACATCGCGTATCGCATAGATATTTGAAAATATCTAAAACAAACGCACACAACTTATTTAGTTTACATACATATGTACATACATATAAATCTTAATCTCATTTAAATCGTACGGAGCTAGCTATAAGCTCATATGAGGTGGCAGATAATAAGAGTAGCAGATTAAGCAAATAAATAAGAAACACGTAAAGAAATGTAAAGACGCAAGTCAAAAGGTTTGACTTCTATAATACCCCAACTTCCTTTTCACGAGTATGCAACATAATGAAATAGCAACAATTACACTTGCTTACAAATGGGAAATATTTTAAACCTAACTTCGTTTTTACGAAATAATTTCGCTTTCGGTAAATAAGGTACAAATTTGAGTTCGTAAGAAAAATATATTTTCTTTAATTAATTTCCTAAAGCTTTACTCTTATTTTATATTATTTAATTTTATTTCAATTTGTTTTATTATTATTTAATTTTTATATATTATTTAGTTTTGATTTGATTTTATTTGGTTTTATTTTACGTTTATATTTTAGTATTTCATTACACTTAAATATATTTAATTTTATTTTTATTTTATATTACATAATTTGTTTGATTTAAATTTACATTATTTTATTTTTATATTTCTTAAATTTACATCAACCGAGAAACGCATCAGCGGTTCCAAAGCGCCAATTATATGTATATAATTTCACTTCATTTTATTTATTTTCATTTTATTTTAGTATTTACTTTGCATATTTAATTTTATTTCGATTCAATTTAGTTTGGTTGAGTTTCATGTTTTAAGTTATTTTATTACGCATTATATTACTTTCTTTCATTTAAATTTTATTCATACCATTTTATTTTATTTCATTTCATTTTACTTTTATTTTATTTTTTATTTTTTATAATTTATTTTTTGTTCTGTTTTGCTTTATTTTATATCACTTTGGTTCATTTTATCTCATTTTATTTTATTTCATTTCATTTCCTTTCAATTTATTTTATTTTAGTTTAGATTCTATTATTTTTTTCACTTATTTTATTTTATTTTACTTTGCTTTAATTTAATTTTAATTGTATATTGTTTAACTTTATTTTATTTAATTTAATTTTATTTTGTCTTAATTTATTTTACTTAATTTTAATTTATTTTGTTTTTCTTTATTTTACATTTTATACCATTTAATTTTGTTTTACTTCATTTTATATTGCTTTATTTGATTTTATATTATTTTATTTTCATTTCATTTCGTTTCCTTTATTATTTTATTTAATACTATTTTATTTCGTGTTATTTTATTTTATATTAATTTGTTTTAATTTATTTTATTTATTTTTACTTATTTTATTTTTTTTTTATTATCTTATTGTATTTATTTACATTATTTTATAATTGTTTTATTTTATTTCATTTCTTTTCGTTCCTTTTAATTTAATCTTATTTTAATTCGTTTAATTTCGGTTTATTTCAGTTGAATTTTGTGTATTTTATCTTAATTTATTTTATATTTTTTTGTTTTAAATTACTTGATTTTATTTTATATAAATTAATTTTTTTGTCTTACTTTAGTTTAAATTACATATTATTTTATTTCATTCCATATAATTTCAATTTATTTCATTTTATTTTATCTTATTTATATTATATTATTTTATTTTATTTTTTATATGTGTTTTTATCATATTTTAATTTATTTGGTATCATTTAATTGCATTTTAATTTTTTTTATAATTTCTTCAGTTTATTTTATTTTACCCTATTTAATTGCGCTTCATCGTATTTTATTTTATTTAATTTTTTTAATTTTATTTTATATATTTTAATTTATTTTGTTTCATTTCCTTCCATTTAATTTCATTTAATTTTATATAATTTCATTTCATTTTGTTTTATTTTATTTTTGTTATGTTTTTTCTTTATGTTATTTTATTCTACTTTATTTAATTTAGTTTTATCTTATTTTATTTTAATTTATTTTATTTTAATTTATTTTATTTTACCACATTTAATTTGTATTAATTTTTTTTTTATTTTATTTTATTTGATTGTTTTTAGATTTTGATTTTATTTTAATGTAATTTTTATTTTATTTTATGATATTTTAATTCAATTTTATTTTAGTTCTTATTTTTTGATTTAGTTTTATTATTGTTTATGTTTTTATTTATTTTAATTATATTTTAGTTATTCTTTTCAGGATGATCTTTCAAGTCTGGGGCTAGTCAGGGCGTATGAGTAACATTAAATATTTATAGGTAATAAGTGTGTTTTATTTTAATACGCATGTTGCGGGATTGTTGAATTTTCCAACTAGCATAGTGTTATTATCAGCTAGTACATACATACATATATACATGTGTATACATTGTTAGTGTAAGTATTTGGTATGAAGAAGAAAAAGACAACAACAGCGACGTTCGGCTGCTCATTGAGCTCCGTTTGCATTACACACAAACTACCTTCTTGCATATAATATTCATTCGAAGCACGTCAGCAACGCTTTCGCGCTTTTGTCCACCACCCGCCGCATCTCCAACTGGATCGGCAACTTCGTATTCTGCGAATTCCAAATATAGAACTTACCTTTCCATACGGCAGAAACTACGTAACACGTATTGTTTTTTTTTCTTCATCGTCAACATCTGGTAAACTTTTCCGGCTCAAAATTATTGTTGTTATCCTTTGCGCTGTGCAGTTGTGTTGTTTTTGTTTCAGTTCTATAATTTGTGTATGCTCATTTCCGATTGCAATGCGGTGTTTTTCTACCTGGTTAAAGGGAAATTACTATCACTCGTCCCTATTTTACTCCTGATATTAGTAAAAATTTCCTGCCCCATTCGCAAAACGGTGCGGCCTATGCTGAAGTTAATTATATATTTTTCAACTTTTATGTACTTTTGTTGTTGTTTTGGATAGCAGGCGGTGCCTAGTTTATTTCGGTCACAGTAATTCGATTAAAGAGAATTTTTTAGTTCTTATGTGGTTTGGAGTAATTGAAGACACGCTCGCATATTTAAATAAATAATTAAAACTGTTTAAAAAAAAACCCAACCTAGCACTGAGTGGAGACATTCTTATGAAGTCAAGGGCATAAACAGAATCGGTCGCACTGAAGCTATTGAGTAGGCTCATCGAATATGCTTCAGCTCAAGGTTTAAGAGAGTTTGTGGCGGTTTGAAAGATTTGACCTCTAAGTCCGCTGAAGACCAAGCACTCACAATGGTAGTACTCCAGGACTTTAGCCACGTGTTCCAAAAATTTAATGCGATAAGTCCTCCTTAGTACTGTCCACTATATTCCTTGCTCCATGCTCTATATGCTCAAATGGATTTTACAACATTTATGTGAATCCAATATTCTATTTGACACAATACTCTTCTGCAGATATCCCACATCTAAAATAATGGTGACGGAAATTATCTGGAAAGTAACTTTTGACTGATCTCAAATGGTGCAGTTGCCGAAATGGATGCAGTGCTGTTTGCGTTGCTAAAACATTCTCTAAGGGGGCAGGGTGGCAGTGTTTTCTACTCATTGAAGATCGACGACAAGCCGTCTCTTTTCTTCCAAGGAATCGGAGATGCGGAAGATTTGTGGTTTCTTGCATGAGTCGCTCAAACGATGGCTGTTCGAGGTCTGCGGTGGCATTGATAGCTTTGAAAATTTTCGATGAAGTAACCAACGCCGGTAGCAAGGGAAGAAGAATACCCTATTCGGTTGAAAAGATTAGTTGGAGAAGGATCTGGCTGCACTTGAAATATCCAATAGGAGTTAAACAGCAGAAAGTGCGCCGCTGTTAGCTCGGATGTATCGCGAAAGCGATGTCTAAAGAAGCAGGAAAGAAAAAATGAGTAAGAAGATATAAGGAGGCATAAAGAAGAAAGCAAAAATAAATAAAAATAAAGAAGAGACAAGAAAAAAGAAGTAAGTAAGAAGGAGCAAGGTAGAAGAAATAAAAAATTATTATGAAAGAAGAAGACATAAGAAAGAGCAAAGAATTAAGAAGGTAGAAGGAAGAAGAAAAAAACGAAGAAAAAACTAAGAAGAAGGAAGAAAAATAAAGAATTAAGATGAAAGAAGAGAGCGTAAAATGGAAGGAAGATGAAAAAATAAAGAATAAGTAGGAAGAGAAGAAGTAAGAGAGAAGAGAGAAGAGAAAAGAGAGGAGAAAGAAGAGAAGAAGAAAGCTGAAAAAAAGGAAAGAAACAAAAAAGCAAAGAATAAAATATAAATAAGAAGAAAGAAAAAAGAAGGAAGAAAAAAGA